TATTCTCCAGCCACTGTTCACAGTCCTCTGTGCAGTCCCTGGTTAGCAGGGCTGATTTTTTGGTTAATTCTTAGGTCCTACCACCATTCAGGAATCTCCAAATTGTCTGTGCCATCAGGATACCTCAGGATAGCTTCCAGACCACAGCTCTGTATGTCTCCTTTTTTGGTATTTTCATGCAAATTCTTCTGCTAGTTGGGGTTTAGGCCACTTCTATATCCTGCCCCTCAAGGCTCAGGGGTCCAAGATTATCTTCTGTGTCTGTGTTAATTGGTTTCCCTTTTTCTTTGTTGAAGAAGTCTGTGCAGTCTTTCTGCCTAGTTCACCATATTGCCGGTATCCCTGATGTATTTTATTTTATTTAGTTATTAATTCAGGTATGCTGAGTTGCTTGGCAGTTTTCTTTGTGGTGGTGGAATCACTGTGTGGAATGTGGGTATGGGTTTCTCTTTGTCACAAAGAGTTCGAACTGGGAGGTTTTATGTTGGCTGAATGTGGTTTCTTCTATTGGATGAGTGAAGTTATTGGTGGAGAAGGTGGGAGTCTAAGAAGGAAAGCTTGCTGTTGCTAGGGTCAGATTCTAGGGCTTTGAACGGGCTCCTACTGATGACACTGTACAGTTATTTACAGGCCAGCAGCTCAATTTCAGGAAAGACTCCAGTTTTTAGGGGTTGCCACTCTCTGCCAGGCTCAGACACATGCAAAAATCCTGCTCCCTAGGCCCCTTGGAGCCAAAAACCTGACCCAAGGCAACTTCCTGGCTCCGCAATCCACTGTGAGTGTTTCTTTCTCTGCCCCGCCTGCCCTTGGTACTGGCCCAACCCGCCCAGACTGCGATTGGCTTGGTAGTTTGTCTGTGAGTACGCCCACCTCTCACGCCAAAGATGCACTCAATTTCAGCTGTGCTGGAGTTGGGAGAGTACCTTCTAGTAATCTGTGGTCCTAATATTAGTGATAAAGTCAAGTGCAGACCTCTCAGTGCCACTAAGCTGACCCAAGCCTATTCAGTGACCCACTGTGGGGGGGAGCAAGCCCACCCTCCTGGAGCACCATGGGCTCTTTGCTTGGGTTTCAGTGTTGCTGGATGTGCCTATTTGCACCTAGCTGACCCAAGTTACTGATAAAAATCAGGAGCTGAAGATAGATCCTTGGGGTGATCTCTGATATGCTGGTGTGTTCTCCGGTATGCTGATATGGAGTGTCTTTTGCCTTGACCCTGGGAGATTTTGGATGGCCGTTCTCGCCTGCTGGTCACTCCCCCAGGGAAGTCTCTAATGGCCTTTCTTGGCTGCCTGTCCACATTCCACAGGGTAGATCTTTAGTTTCTTCCCCTGTACCTTTCCTCTAATTCTACTCTGAGTTTGGTGTACCCAGACTCAGTGAGCTGTTCAGAGCACCAAAATCCCTAGTTCAAACTGCTCTACCTAGTTTTTCAAGCACCAGCCCCTCCTTGGAAGGAAGGTTGGGCAATCCTACTTCCGTAGTGATACTGCCTCGGAAACCCAAGGAGGGGTCGTTATGAGTTGGGTTTGACTCGACGGCACACAACAACAGCAAACAACAAGATGCCAGAGGGAAATAGTGTGGTGATTACTGATGAGATTCCATTTTGAATCCCTCAGAGATATCTTCTTCCAAACCTATATATATGTTTGTGGATGTAGTCCTATTTGTCTTCCCATCCCTGCTAAGCTTGAGTGTCTACCTATCTACTCATAGATTATTGTTATTACTATAATTGCAGGATTGTATATGTATGAATATTCATTTTTTTTTTAATTTTAAGAGCTTGTTTTACATTCAACGTTACATGTATGTTTAGTTTCATTCCCCATTTACTATGTCCAATCCCAGCCCAGTCTCCTCCCTTCCCTACCCTGTAACCCTCCCCCTGTGCCTCTCATATTTATGCTCTCCTGTTTGTCCTGCATTTACTCATTTGAATGTTGGTCCTCTGGTGTCCTGTGGTCTATTGCTCTAAGGGATGTATTACCATAGAGTATATGGGCATCATCTTGGGTTGAGTGGTCTGAGTGTACATCTTGTTAACTATTGGACTGAAAGCCAGCCCCTGGGGGTGAGTTTTATTCCAAGTTCAGAATGTATTCCAGGGCCATGGTACTGGGGGTCTCACCAGAGTTCATCTGACCAGTAATTATGATCATTATTGAGTTTTTGGATTTTGTACCATGTTTTCCTCCCACTTTATCCAGGATCTCCAGATTTGTTGTGATTTGGGTGAAAGTTTACAGAGCAAATTCATTTTCCATACTGCAGTTCACATACTTTGTCTTATGACATTGATTACAATTCATCACAATGCAACAAATCCCCTCCCACTTCCTCCCCATAGTTACCTCTTCCCTGTGTTGTTCCCTCCATGCACTCCTCCCCAGAAGCTATCTCCCTGTGCATATACAGCCCTTCTTTTCTCCCATGATTATTCTCTACAAGGAGTGTCTTTACCTATTGTAAATGTTCAGCTCATATGCCTGTCTTTTGTTTGGCTAGAAGCTACAGAAGTGAGTTCAGTTGCAGACCTGAAGGGCAGCTAGAGGCCATAGTTTCAGTGGTTCCATCAGGCTCTATCACACTAGCAAAACTGGTCCCTTTTCTTTTTTCCCCCTAAAATGATTTTTAGTTTTGTTCCACATTATTCTCCCACTCTATCCAGGATCTCCTACATAGATCCCCCTCTGAGTGATTGACAGTGGTAGTTGGGCACCATCTAGTTCTTCTGGGCTCATAGTCATATAGGCTGAGGATCGCATGGTGTACTAGTCCCTTGGACTAATGGTTTCCATTTGTCTTTTGTTTTCTTCATTTGTCTTTTCTCTGGATGGGGAGAGACCCATCATTGCATCTAGATATTTGCTTGCAAGCATTTAAGATCCCAGTTGATACTCACCAAAGTAGGATGTGGAACAATGTTTTTGTGTAGTATGTTATGCCAATTGAGCTTAGTGTCCCCTTTGACTATGGTCTTGAGCCCACAGGTCCAAGTATTTGCTCCTTCTGGGTAGCTGACTGTGACAAGAAGTGACTATAACCTTCTCTCTTTTCAGCTCTACCATATACCTGGGAATTCTTACAGAACATACAAAAACACTTGTAGAAACATTGTCTGCCAACTCTATACATGGTCATGGGCACACTCCCCCCTGCACAGATGTACCTAATAGTTCATCCTGTCAACTCATCTCTCCACCAGTTTATCCATGCTTGCCTTCACTGACAACGCAGTACTGTATGTGCGAAAGTGTTCATCTTTGTTGTCTATTCCTCCCATTCACCTCTCTCTGCCATCCTCTTCTTCAGTGACACTTTGTTAATCACTCCCATTTGGTACATTGTCCTTTCCTTCACTGAAATCAACACTTTATCTATCTAACAGTTTTCCTTCCCCTCTCTTCCCCTCCCACACCTGGTAACCAACAAAGAAAAAATTTCATTCCATGTATAAGCCTTTCCTTGATTTTTTACAATAATGGACTAATAAAATATTTGTCCTTCTATGATTGATTCAATAAGTTCACTCAGCATAATGTCCCCCAATTTCATCCATGTTATGGGGTGTTTTGCAGATTCTACATTATTCTTTAGGGTTGCATAATATTCCATTTTGTGTATGTACCATAGTTTGGTTATCCATTCTTCTGTTTATGAACATCTAGGTTTTTTCCATCTTTTTGCCATAGTAAATAGTGCTACAAAGATTCATTGTTATTCTTCAACATTGCACAGTATTCCATTGTGTGGATGTACCATAGTTTGTTTATCCATTCATCCATTGATGGACATTTAGTTTCTTTCCATCTGTTCTCTATTGTGAGTATTGCTTTAATGAACATGGGTATGGATATTTCTGTTCATGTCATGCCTTTTATTTCTCTAAGATATACACTTAGTAGTGGAATTATTGGGTTAATTTGTGTTTCTATTTTCAACTTCTTAAAGAAGTCCCATACCACTTCCACAGTGGTTGTCTCATTTTACAATCCCACCAGCAGTGTATGAGTGTTCTAGTCTCTCCATAACCTTGCCAGCATGTTTTTTTTTTTGAAATTTACATTAATACTGTACAATGAGATGATATCTAATTTTTTTTTTTTTTGGATTTGCATCTCTCCAATGGCTAATGATCCTGATCATTTCTTCATGTGTTTAGTGGCCACTTGAATGTCTTCTGAGGTGAAGTGTCTGTTCATGTCCTCTTCCCATTTTTAAATTGGATTTCTTATTTTTGTGTATGTGTGCTGAGATGTTGATATTTATATATATTTTTGTTCAGTATATTATTGCCATTTTTTTTCCCAGTCTGTAGGTTCTCTTTTCATTCTTTTGGTGAAGTCTTTTGATACACATAAATATTTAATTTTTTAGGAGATCCCAGGCATCTAGTATGTCTTCTGCTGTTTGTGCATTTTTAAGTACATTTATAGTGTATTTATGCACTAAGTCTGCCCCTATTTTTCCTTTGATGATCTTTATTATTTTAGGTTTTACAGTTAGGGCTTTAATACATCTTGAGTTAATTTTTGTATAAGGTATGAATTATGGATCCTGTTTCTTTTTTCCATAAATAGATATCTAGTTTTGCCAGCATCATTTGTTAAAAAGACTACCTGATCCCCATTCAATGAGTTTCAGCTATTAATGGAGATGATAAAACCCTAAGACTTTAAGCATATGTCCAGGGCTATTCCAAAGGAATACTTCTATACTTTGACAAAAGGGTAGTGGCTTTCCTGGAGAAGTAGAGGTTTATTCTAAGGTGTCCAGATTAATATAAATACAAACATAAAAATGCACACACAGAGGACTTGCTGCAAGGACTTTATTTGGGATAAGGAAAGGAAATTGAGGGAAAGGTACAAAGAATAAAAACAATTCTTTTATAGATCTTTGACACGAAGTATGAACTCTCGTCTTGTTTTTTGAATCTCAGAGACAGCAAACTGTGTGGCGAGAACCTTTGATGGTGCAAGTCCCAGAGTTGCGTTCTCTTAAATGACAGCATCCTCTTCTGCAGTAGCAAACATTTCTCTTCAGTAGGCCTGGAGAAACAAAGAAATCATCAGACATTTAATACTGGTTAGAGGTGGGTGGTAAGCAGAGGATCCTGGAGAAGTTACATGTGGATTTGAATGGGTATATCATGTTGACTATAAATTATGGCCTACAGCAGTGACCGACCTCAATAGGGTAAACAGGAATATGTATAAATAACAAATGTGGGCCACACAGGATTAGAAACCCATTCTGGTGTCATAGGTAGTAAGACAATAAAACAAAAAAAACAAAGTCACTGCCATTGAGTCAATTCCAACTCATAGCGACCCCTCCTTGGGTTTCCAAGGCAGTATCTCTACAGAAGTAGATTGCCTAACCTTTCTTCTGAGGAGTGGCTGGTAAGTTTGAACCTCCAGGCTTAGGTGAACTTTTGTCCTGTTAGAGGAACTGGTTATACAGACAAGAGGTTTGAACCTCCAGCTCAACTGGATTCTTCAACTTTGGTTCTTTATCTGCAGTAGCAGATGGCTCTTATCTGAATGTCTAGGGGAAAAAGAGTGTCGGGCACAGTGGGCAATTAGAGAAGGCAGACAGAGGCAGACTAATGGAGATATGCTGAGAAGCCATGTTTCTACTTACAATAGGCATAATATTTGTCCCTTAGAATGGTCAGATTTTACACTGGTGTCATAAATCAAAAGTAATCTCATTGGTCATGTGTTGGTTATGCAGGATTATGGTTTCTTGTATCACAATCTTTCATTCCATGCTGCTTTCATGCCCTAGAATACACATCTCAAACTCTGGGCTACCAACTTCTCATTCTACCTCATCTACACATCATCATTCCAAGTACTTTTTCCATGTATAACTAGTTCCTCTGACAGGACAAATATCATCTCCCAAGCTGAAGATACTGAGTGTCACTAGTATTTGTTATGGAACAAAATCCTTTGGTGTTGAAAGTTCCCTTGAAGAATGTATAATTCTAATGATTCTGTGGCTAGTTTGAGACACCCCCACAAAGCACAGTGATCTCACCTGAAGCTCCTTGGGCTGAGCGTTTGTCTCCTGCAAAGGAGATCGCCACATACTGGTCCCCTGTTTCAGCCTCATCCTGGGCTGGAATATCATCATCTGTTTGTCTGACTGGCTCAGCCTGGGCCTGGAGGACCAGCAGGAGAATGGCAGCAAGGAGGGTGAGGGTTCTCATGGTTGTAGGTCAGTCTCTTTATGGAGAAGCAGGAGCCTGAGTGTGTTGGCCAGTGAAGAGTTGATCAGTATTTATGTTTGTTATGGGAAGGTTCAGAGATGAACCTTACTTCCAGTAAGAGGAAGTGTGTACTTGTTTTGGGCATGGTACCTGAGGGGTCCCTGTTTCCCTCAAAGACTCTTTGATGATACTCTGTTTTACGAGCTTTAATTGCAACAAAATCTGTATGTCTATTTTGTGCACTTGGTTCACATCTCCGATAATGATAAACACCTGTTCCCCATCTGTTTGAATACTGGCCTTTTAATATTCAAAATAGAAGACAAACAATGCTTTTATTCAGTAAGTGTAAGAGAAGAATGCCTTTTACTTTCTGGGTTTTGCTGTAAGTCTAGCTTAAATGAAGTTGAATGTCAGTTCACTGCAGGACTCCAGAATCACTAATCCTGCCATGAAGCACACTTTCAAAGTTATCAGGAAGGCAGGCTTCTGTCAGGACTGGTGTGGAGAGGACAGTGATTGCATCAGGACTCTGGTAACATGAACTTCAGATTCAGAACAAGTAAGATATTAGGTAATGTACCAATCAGACCAAAGTCAAAATATAGATACACATAAAATGTTTATTTGTTACATTTTTATACTTTGACCATTATCAAACTAATGGATATACAAACAACCTGATTCTGAGTCTTTGTAATTTTCAATAAAAATTTGATTCATACACATGAAATAAAATTCAAAAGTCGTAATGAGTAAAAACAAGCAAATGAATATTTTTTTCTATCCTCATGGCCATCCTTTCAGCTTATCTCAAGAAAACCACCACTATTAACAATTATATATATTATTTTGCACCTTGCTTTATTCACCTAATGTTAAAGCTTGGATTCTATTGTATATCAACACATATAGAACTGTCTCATTTTAAAAAGAAATATATATTATTTCCAATGTTTGAATATGCCATAATTTAACTATTTTCTATAGATATTAATTACTCTATTTCTTATTAATAAAACATCATTAAACTAATACATTTAAGTTATTTCTAAACTTTTGTAGTTACAAACAAAACTGAAATGATTGTTTTTTTCTTATATTTCATTTTATCCATAAATTATTAAATCCAAAAAAATCAACCTCACTACCATCAAGTCAGTTACAAATTATACTGACACCCAATGGGTTTCCAAGGCTGAAAATTTTTACAGAAGCACACTGCCTCATCTTCTTGTGTAGCAGATGGTGGGTTCAAACCGCTGACTTGTTGGTTAGCAACCAAATATCTTAAACACTGAATATCTGAGATAAATTCCTAGAAGAAAATCATGAACTAGGTCAAAAAATAAATGTTTTCTACATTTTATAGCTATTACCAGTCACATTGCCCTCCATAAAGGCTATGCATTATCAGTCACAAAAATATATAAGCCTGCCTTCTCTCCTCTCAACTTTGTTGATGGATTGTGCTTTAGGAGGTCCTGTTATTAACCAATTTTCATCATGCCTGCTTCCTGTTTATGTTCAGAGCAGCACTGTGGTCCATTAAAAGTCTCAACATCCCAGACTCCCTTGCACGCAGCTCAGTGTGAACATTAAACAGAGATCTCTGATCATTCAAATGTAATCTCTAGGGAAAGTTATTTTTAAAAATAATAACAGAAATTTTTCTCTTATTATATTTTTCTCTTTTTTACTGTTTGGATCATGGAAGAAGTTGGATATTCTGTTGCTCTCCTCTGTCCATGAGGAAGACAGTTGCTAAATATGGATGGTAAAGCTGGTTATCTGGTTAATTTTGATAATTTTTGAACCACTTCACCCATCGTCTGGATAATCCACATCCAGATTTTTTTTTTTTTTTTTTTTTTTACCATGGCAAAACAAGCTTCTTACTTTTCAAGCCATTGTTTGTGGGTTTTCTGGTGTTTGTGGCTGAAAACAATCTGATACATCTGTTATGTAGTTTTTGATACTTCCTAGTAAGATAGGTAAAAAGTGGCTTCCAGTAAAAGTGGCTTCCAGTGTAGCTATTACTGCATAGGCTTATGAATGAGGTTCAACATTTTTTTTTTTTTTCTTGTTCTTTGGGTGCAAATTTACAGAGCACAATTTGTTTTACATTCAACAGTTCGGGTACATTTGGTTTCGCTTCTCTATTTCCATCCCCAACCCTAACCCACTCTCCTCCATTCCTTTCCCTGTGACCCCTTATACCTGTGCCCTTCTTAGTTATGCACTCCTGTCTGTCCAGCTTTCTCTCCATGTGAATGCTACCCCTCTGGTGCCCCATGGCTGATTGCTCCAAGGGGTGTATCTCTGTAGAGTCGGTGGGTGCATTGCCCTGGATTTGATGTTCTGCATGTTAGTCTTTCTACTGTTGGGCTGAGAGCCAGTCCTTAGGAGTGAGTCCTATCCCAGGCCCAAAGCATATCTCAGGGCCATAGTCTTGGGGTTCCCACCAGATTCCATCTGACCAGTAATTATGATCATTACTGTGTTTTTTTGTTTTTGTTCCACATTTTTCTTCCCACTCTATCCAGGATCTCCAGTTTTGATCCCTTCCTCAGTGGTTGGCATTGGTAGCCAGGCACCATCTAGTTCTTCTGGTCTCAGGGTCCATTATATCCTAGGGCTGATTGTTTCCAAATGTCCTTGGTTTTCTTCACTCTTCTTTGCTTCAGATGAGAGGACACCATTAGCTACACCTAGATGGTTGCTCAAAAACTTTTAAGACCCCAACTGCTACTCACCAAAGTAGGTTGTGGAACAAGATTTTTATGTATTATGTTGTGCCAATTGAACCTTATGTCCCCTAATTCTATGGTCATGAGTTGGCAGATTCAGTTGTTCTCTTTCCCAAGGTGTTTAGCTGTTTCTGAGGGACTCCAACTCTGTCTTCTGTTGCTTCTGTAATGATTGGGGTTATTTTGTATCACTAGTATCTGAACAAAATTATCCTCAGCTAAATCTATCATTGGTCTAGGGTATATTCTGGTTCACTGACCCCCATCTGATCTTCTAAGTTTTCTGTGCATTTATCTGTAGCCTGGTGTTTGGTGTTGTTGGTAATTCAGTATTGTGGATATACTGGTATTAGTGTCTGTCTTATGTTCACAATTTTGTGTCCTCCCTTTCCATACCATCCCTCCCCTTACTCAACTCAGCGTGTGGCCCTCAACTAGTCTGAAAATTTCCCTTCCCTTTCCCTCCCCTCCCAATTAATCTACAAAATAAGTTCCCCTCCTTATGCAAACCCTTCCTTGACTTTTTACAGTAATGGTCTCACACAATATTTATCCTTCTGTGATTGTCTTGTTTTGCTCAGTTTAATGTCCTCCAGGTTCATTCACATTGAGAGATGATTCACGTATTCTTCATTGTTCTTTAATGTAGCATAGTATTTCATTGTGTAAATGTACCATAGTTTGGTTACCTACTCATCTGTTGATGGGCAGTTAGGTTGTTTCCATCTGTTTCTTGTAATGAATTGTGCTGTGATGAACATGGGTGTCCATATGTTTGTTCATGTTCTGTCTCTCACCTCTTTAGGCTGTATTCTTAGTTTTGGTTGCCTAGTGCTGCTCTGATAAGAATATGCCACAAATGGGATGGCTTTAACAAACAGGAGTTTATTCTTTTACAGTTTTGAAGCTTTAAGTCTGAGTGCAAAGTGGCAGGCTCTAATGGCTGGATGAAAGCCCCTAAACCTTGGGCTTGAGCTCTGCCTCCTGCTCCTGGCCTCCTGAAGCTGGAGGATTTTCTTTATTCAGACAGCTGTTGAGGCTGACAAACCCAAGGCTGACAAGTAAAAAGGCAGAGTCCCAATGTTACCAAACAACACAGCAGGTCATTGATTCAAGTCCATTGAAAGTCCCTCTGCTGGCAGAGCATGACCAGCTGCTGAATAATGACTTGACTACATGCAGGGTTCAAGTGTGCCATGGCTAGAGACCATCCCCAAAACTGCTTCTTATATATGGGAAGCAGACCATATCCCTAAAGCAGCTACTGAGGTGCTGGTGGCAGATTCCACCATGGAGTTTGCCAGTCTCATCATGGGGAAACACTACCTCTAGCTGTCCAGCCATTCAACCAGGCCCAGCCAACTTGACAACAACCTTAACTACCACATCTTAGTAATGGATTGCTAGTTCAAATGGTATTTCTATTTTCAGTTTTTTAAGGAAATGCCACACCATTTTCCACAATGGTTGTACCATTTTACAGTCCCACTAGCAGTGTATGAGAGTTCCAAACTCTCTGCAACCTCACCAGCATTTGTTATTTTCTGCCTTGTTGAACTTTGCTGTTATTGCTGGGGTGAGATGATAACTCATTGTTGTTTTGATTTGCATCTCTTTAATGGCTAATGATCATGAGCAATTCATGTGTTTGTTGGCCATCAGCATATCATCTTTATTGAAGTGTTCATGTCCCTTGCCCATTTTTGAATTGGATTGTCTACCTTTTTGGCACTGAGGTATTGAAGTTTTCTATAAATTTTGGAGATGAGTCCTTCGTCAGATATGTCATAGGCAAATATTTTCTTCCAATATGTAAATTTTCTTTTTACCCATTTGGAGAAGTCTTTCAATGAGTATAAAAATTTAATTTTTAAAAGGTCCCCAGTCATCTAGCTCTTCCACTGCCTGCGCATTTTGGGTTATACTTGAAAGTCTATTTACACTGTAAATTAGGGCCCCTAGATTTGCCCCTATTCGATCTTTGATGAGCTTTATTGTTTTGGGTTTTACATTTAAGTCTTTGATCCAACTTGAGTTCATTTTTGTGTATGGGGTGAGGTATGGGTCTTGTTTCATTTTTCTGCAAGTGGATATCCAATTTTGCCAGCATTGTTTGTTAAAGAGGCTATCTCTTCCCGATTTAATGGGTTTTAGTCCTTTGTCAAAGATCAGCTGTCCACAGATAGATGGGTCTATTTTTGGGTTTTTGATTATGTTCCATTGGTCTATCTGTCTATCATTGTACCAACT